GGGAATTGCAACAGATAGGTAGATGTTTTTTTTATTCTTTTTGAATTATTAAGCAAAAATAGTATTTATTAGTGTTAATGAGAATGAAAATAATAGTAAGGATAATAAAGAACAAGAAGAACAAGAAAGAATAATAACAGAAGAAATAAGACTAGCATTAAAATATAAAGACAATATTCATAGAAAAATGATAGTTCTTGGATTGGAGATTTATATGATTTATCTGAACCAGATGAAGAAGAAGAAGAAGAAGAAGAACTCCAAGAAATAATATCTGTTGATTTTGATACTTTATTAAAAAGAAGTTTAACAAAAAAGACAGGTTTAACACAACTATTAGAAGATGCAACTATTGAATCCTCAACAAGTTTCATGAGTATTAGTGAAACTAGTAAAACAAGTAAAACAAGTATTAAAGAATCTAAAAGAAAAAAGTTGTTTTAGAAGAAGAACAACAACAATCTAAATTTAAAAACAGTTCAGATAAAGATAGTAATAATAATAATGATAAACCTAAAAAAAGAAAAGAAAACTTGATAAAAAAAAAGAAAAAAAACAAGAAGAAAAAGAAAATGTATTTGAAATTGATAATGATGACGAATTTATATATCAACAATCTGATGATAGTGATAAAAATAGTAATAATAATTCATCAAAAATTTAAAAAAATACAAATGAACAAAAGTATCTAAAGAGAGTTTGTAGTATATAGGTTTATAGTTAGAAACTCAAATAAGAAAAGAAGTATTCTGTATCATTCAAACAGATTATTTTAACAATATATAGTAAATTAATATGTAAAGTGGAAAACAAATAGATTATCAAAATTAAAAATTATTAAGATCAGAAGTTTATCAAGGATTAAGTGATATGACTTTTGAAAAAGATACTAATCTTAATCAAATTGGCTAAAAAAAAATACTATCATCAAGCTTTACAGGATCTTCAAGATATTTACAACAATTGTATCAAGATTCAATAGCAATTGTTAGAGAATTTGAAAACCCTAATTTATTTGTAACAGTTACATACAATATAAAATAGCTAGAAATATATAAAGAGCTTTTATTAAATCAAACTGCTTTTAATAGGCCTGATTTAATTGCAAGGGTTTTCAAATTAAAATTAAAAGCAATAACTAATAATTTGTTTATAAAAAGAGTTTTGGGAAAAGTTATTGCATATATATAATTGATAGAAAATGCAGTAAAAATTATTCTAAAAATTTTGCTACTAAAATATCTACAAATAAATCTGAATACCCTATATATAGAAAAAGACAAGATTTTAAAATATTTCAAAAAAGTAAAAACTCATTAACAATTAATAATAGATAGATTGTTCTTTATAATCCATATCTGAGTCAAAAATATAACTGTCATATAAATATAAAGATATGTTTAAGTGTTAAATCAATAAAATATCTCTACAAATATGTAGATGCAAGATATGTTTCAGCTTCTAAAGAAATTTGAAGATTATTTAATTTTGGTTTATATAAAAGATCTCATAAAGTTAAAAAAACTTCCAGTATATTTGCCTAATCAACAACAAATTACTTTTTATGAAAGTAAAAATTTATCATTAATTCTTGATAAAGCACAATATACAAAATTAAAAAGATATTTTGAACTTTGTGCTAATAATTCTGAGGATGAGCTTCTTCAAACTTTAAGATATATTATTCTTGGAATACAGAATATCAATTTGGTTTGGTAGATTATTTATTCAATAGCAACTTTAAATCTATATACAAATATAAAAAAAATCTTTCAATTAGCACTAAACTAAACTTTGTTTAGCTAATAGGCCACCATCCAACTAGCCTGGTTGAATGGCCTGTCTAAACAAAGTTTCTGGCCTAATTTGATTATCAAGAATCAAACTCCCGGTGGCATAGCTAATTTCATTATCTAATTTAAAAAAAATTAATATTATTTAGATAAAATATATACAGTTATTAGGCTATGTACAAAGGATTATCAGATAAAAATATTATTTGTAAAATGATTATCATAACTACGACAAATCATTTACTAATTCTTGCAGGATCTTCTACTAAAAGATTTATATTTATTAATATAAAATCTTGTAATTATATTTTGAATGATTAAATTACTTACCACGGTATTGTGATTCAAAATATGTACCCCAGCAATTATATTTTCCACAAAATTCAATTAGAGTAGCATCATGATGGTCCATGTTTCAAACTAAAAAACCAAAAAACTGATGTTGTGGTTAAGAAAAATCATGAGAAAAACAAATATCCTATGCATTTAATTCGGTGGTAGTAGTGATGGTCTCTTTAGGATTGAATTTATTATTCGGTGCGATCTGAATAGTTACTTTGTATAGTAAGAGATATAGATGGTCCATTTTTCTTAAAATATCATAAATACGATCATCTTCTGTTATTTCAACCTCTTGGTATTGTGCTTCTGGACTAGGAAGATTTTTATTCTTACCAACGACATAGGGATATGAAATTACCAAATAAAGAAACAATAACTTCTCGGATAAACTTAACACAGATGTAAAGATAAAAATTAACCAATCAAAACAACACATGTATAATCTTTGAAGATAATTCGCTATTGTTATTTAAATAATTAAAATTAATATTTGAGTCAGAGCCACCGGATTCTAGCAATAGCAAAAATAGCATGAGCGATATCGTGAAAACCACATAACCAAATCTGACCAAATTTTTTTAGAATTAAATAAAACAATTTTGGTCAGATTTGGTTATGTGGTTGTCACGATATTGCTAGTACAAAATTAAATTGAGTAGTTTTGATTAATAATATTGTTTTATTATAAAATATTACAACTTCAATACCGATACCCTAAATCAATTTATCTTCAAGCATCATAATGAAATTTTGAATTATTTCAATTCAAATAAAAATGAATCTAGAATTATACTGTTAACATTAATCTTAAAAAACATTCTGAAAAATTTTATAGACGATAATATAAACAAATTATCTAATTAAATAGTCAAAAAAGAAATCAAGAAATTCAAAAAGAAATTCAAGAAGAAAGTCAAAACAATATTCAAGAAAATATTAATAATAATTTTGAACTCAATTCTATTACAAGTAATAATCTTAATAATAGATTAATTAAAAGTATTGAAATCGAAGTAATAAAGAAGTTAAAATTAAAATTGATAATTTTAATATTAAAGTTAACAAAGGATGTAAAATCGAATTTAAATATATTTTTTTAAACTACAGTATATATTTTTTTTTATGGATATATCGATATTAATTTTATCATTTAAGTATATATTATTGGGCAAAAAATTTGTAATTTGGCTAATACGTAATTTGGATGACACATGCCACTGCGTGGCATATATCAGCCAATCATTTGTCAAATTACCGTATTCACAAATTTGCCCAATAACGATTGAGATTGTGAAAATTACTCTTTTATATTTCAAATGAAATTTCAATACCATAGCTATTACCAAGAGACTATATTAAAACTTGTAAAAAAAGACCATCACCATTACTTTAAAAACAATGATATTAGCACCTGGAGCCTATATAATTTTCTTTTGTATCACATAAAACAAAGTGATTTTACAAGAGAATGGCTATTATTCTCACTTTTTAGAACAATTCAAAAATGAACATGGTGAAGAAGGAGAATTTTTAATAAAACAATTTAATGTAAATTTAATTACTCACACTATATATACATTTTTTAATAGATAAACATAACAAAAGTCATATTTTTGAAAACTAAAGGAGAGTACGGTATCATCTATTATAAAAGTTTGGTGAGAGATTATAAGTGGAAATGATAAAGAAGTTGAAAACCTTCAATTAGCTTTTTCAAATGCATTGAATTTGAAAAAGAATTTTTTGCAACTCGGTACCTCAAAGGTAATTGTTAAAAACCATTTTTTCGCTATATGAATGATGATTAATAATATTTTTATTAGAATGAAAGAGATTTTTTATCAGACCTGCAAGACCTTTGCGTATTACTTCAAAACCATATAAATTCAATAGAAGCTGACAAAGATATTAAATACTTTGAGTAAATAGATTCAATTTTATAATGCTTAAATATTTTATTTGTAGTTATTAACTTCTATTGTTTTGATAGCCCTATTAAAAGTGGTGTTATTTGTGTCTACAATCTAGATGCTAAACTAAAGAGAAAAATATCCAATAAATATATGGACTATCTGACAAAAAAAATATCTATTCCGGTCAATGATACTAGTTTGCTATATATATCAGGTATATCAAAGATATTCTGGCCTACTATATCAATTTTAATAGTACACCTCTATGCAATAATTTAAAAAAGCCTGAAATCTCACCAAGCTGCAAGCATGAAGAGAAGATACAGTGTAAAATATATCAAATTATATTGAATCATATATAAGCGAATCAATATGTAAATGAAATTTATTATTTCATATATGTGGCTTATCTAAATTTTTTTATTCTAGGGAGTAGTCTATTTGGTCAAACTCATATAAAGTAAACAAAATCAGTGAACAATAATATACCTCAGATACAGTTTATAGTTTTATATTCAAGTCATTTATATATATTAATAATAACCTCTATACTTTATTGTGAGTATTAATTTAAATTTTTAAGAATCATAATTAGTTATTTTTAGCTAATGTATATTATTAAATATTAGTGAAGAGATAACATCAGTCAGATCTGCTCAGAGAAAATAAATTTACAAATTTATTGGCTTAAATAAGAATAAAAGCATAATTGGTCGTTGTTGTGATTTGATAGTATGTGATCAATATGAATTTGCATATTTAATTGGTGAAGTAAGTGGAAAAACTTCCCAATAAGGAATAGTTTGATCTTGGCAGAAATAATCGCAATGCGAAAGATGAGAAAAGTCTATATGAATTAGCTTTAGTCGCAGAATTTGGTCCAATTATAAATGAATCAGATTTGAAGATTTTGAGTGAAATATATGTATTTATGATCCAAGTGAAAAGTATGTATTTTTCATTAAAATTTTCATGATTAAATGGTTATTAATTAATATATGTACAGAAAAAATAATAGAAACATCGGTATTAGATTACATAGTGGATAGTATTTATCGTTCAAAACTTTTGAACCGGGCTGAAATCCTTTTAGAAAAAAACAACATTGATAAGGTCAATTTTTTGCAATTTTATTCACAATTTATGAATTAATTGTAAGTACCGTGACATTCTTATTGGTAATTTTAAATACTTAAAATATGCGAAATTTATCTGTAACCTTATATAGGTTGCGATTGATGAAAATAGCAGTAAATTAAATAAGATGATGAATACACTCTCAAGAAGAAAGCAAGAATGGAAATCTAATAATAGTGATGTGGATTTTGATGCTTTAACAATAAGCGAAGTAGCAAAAAAATTGGTCCTTTCACAAGCAATTACCACTTCAACTCCAACATCATCACCATCCCATAATGATACAACTAGCTCTCAAAAATCTTCAATAACTGATTTACTAGAATTATTCTTAACTCCAGCACGGGCAAAAGAGACCCTTAAGGAAATGAATACTCTGCTTTTGTTAGAAATAGTTGTTTTTACCACAGACAGTAATATTCTTCTTACACCAGATCGTTTGCCTATAAGCACTGATGATGATGATTTAATTTCGGATATTCAAATTTAAAAAAATTTTTCAATTAAACATAGCAATTATTAATTGTTAACATGAATACTCCTGCAATTAGCAATAGAATATAATAAATTGCAAGCTGTCAGCACTGATATCATAAAAATTGTTGTCAGCCTGGACAATTGATTAAGATTGGAATCGCTGATAGCCTGGATTATGATAGAAAATGCTAATAGCTTTGCAATTTATGCAACCAATTTTGTAAATAATTTTATTCACTTGTAACATGCGTATACTCATTCAATTTCTCGTGAATACCATCTGATTAGTACAAAAATGTGCCGGTATTAAAAAATCATTAACAAACTAGTCAAAGATTATGTTTAAAGAACCAAATATATATGCATATATCCTATATTTTTTCATTCGCATTAAAAATTGCATGTAAATTAGATCAAAGATGTGTAAATTAGATCAAAGATGAATTAATTCTCCCCTTATTTGAGCATGTTTTCTTATGAAAAATTAATATAAAAAAAAAACATTCTAATTTGAGTTCAATATATTTGCGAATTAATAAACAGACGGGCTCCATTATGGAGCCTGTGTAGTTTTTATCATAATAATTAATCACCAATTGTGGTCACAATAATTCTCAAAAATTTTGAAATCATATGCTTTTTTTTTCCACACCAAAGTCAGTATGGGTATCTCTAACCATGGTCCGTAATTCAAGAACTTTGAACTCTCTGTCATGCATGTGACAGAGTTCAAAGTTACCTTTTTAATTTTTTGATAATGAATAAATCAAAAATGTAACTTTTGTACGATGCGTTGACCTGTAAATACGTATCGATAGAAACTAAATAAAGTCATTGTCTATGTGTGTGATCCGTAAACTAATAGTTAATATAAATTGTATTCTAGTTTTTGCAACCCTATATAAACACCACTTAAAACTTAAAGTAGCTACTCCGTAAAATCAATAAATCTACTTCTTTATCCGATGGCCTCTTGATGCCATAGGAGCACTATGTAATAATAATAACAATGAATTCTGAATAAAAATAATCATGGCAATACTGGCATGAAAGAAATGAGATTGATATTAAAGAAATCCATTTTGCAATTTATTAATCAAGAATGTGATTTCTGCTATCTTGTGATGATTATTAATCGAGAGATAAAAATGTTTTATTGATTCTGAAAGAGGAATTACTGTTGCATGTCATGGCATTATCGTATCGACAGCCTAAAATTTATACTCTAATTCTGTCTAAATTAATATTCGAATTCTGCCTAAATTAACATCTAAATCTGCCAAAATTTATACTCTAATTCTGGCCAATTTATATTCTAATTTTGCTCAAATTTATATTCTAATTCTGCCAAAATTTATACCCTAATTCTGCCCAAATTTATATTCAAAATTCTGCCAAAATTTATACTTTAATTTTGCCCAAATCTGAATTTGAATTCTACCCAGATTAAACCCTAATTCTGCCAAAATTTATACTTTTAGTTTTGCCCAAATTTATATTCGAATTTTGCCCAAATTAACCAAATTAAACTATAATGTTGCCCAAATTTATATTACTTTAATTCTGCCCAAATTAAGCCCTAATTCTGCCAAAATTTATACTTTAATTCTGCCCAAATTAAGCCCTAATT